TTTAAAGTGTAACATCGGTATGTAGTAAGTGTAACAACATACCGATGTTACACTTTAAAAAAATCTTTTTTGTTGTTACACTTTGAAAAAATTCGATTGTGTTGTTTCATTTCAATAAATTTTTTATCTTTGTTTCACTTATATGTGTTGTGAATAGAAGTTGCGTTTTCATTCTCGGACATTCATATGTATGTATATATTTTGATAAATAACAGTTTTCGTGATTATTTTGTTCTGCAGTTTATTCAGAAAATACCCCATAAGAATTCAGAAAGAAACAGAATATTTATTCAAACGATTAAGTAGTACTCAATGAGAACTTTCAGATGTAATCGATTGCCTTTGATATAGAAGTAGGACTGACTCAACAAAAGAAAATACGTTCCAGAAGAAGTGCACATCATCGAATTAAAATGTTGCTAATCGTAATATAGTAATTGGGATATAGTTTTCCATTAAATGATGAATTCGATTATTTTTACATTACTCTATCGTCAGTTTATTCTATAAAATTCTATTTTCTTGAGTGAAAACGTTTGTGGTTGAACTCTGAGAGAATGTTCACTGTAAGAGAAAGAGGGCAGAAAAAGAGAATTTGTATTTGTCGACATTTGAATTATTTGTCAATGACACACAACACTATCTCACTTTTTGTTCAAATCTGAAGACAGACAGCTTGATCAAGTGGGATAGAGAGTGTGTGTATATGAGAGAGACAGTGTTGTCGATCTAAGGTGATATGGATAATAAATTAAATTGTAACTTGCAATGGAAAATAAAGTTGATTGATTGAGATTTAAAAAAAAGTAAATAAAAAATAATTATAAAAATAAAGACATGTTAAACCCATAAATGTTAGTTATATAATAAAACTATATCAAAAATTTGTGAAATTATTAGTACGGTTGCAATTTATTTAGTTGGTTAAAAGGTAAAGGAAATCAACAACTTAAACTTAAAATTAACCAAATATACCAAATCACAAATCAAATCAAATCAAATCAAATTCCAACCAAATCACTACTACCAACTCCATGTCGGAGTGTTGCCAACATGCCAACTACCAACCTTATTGTCGAAGTCAGCAAAATTAGCAAAGCCGCTTCCACTGTTTCCGAATCCTGAAGCATCTTGTTTGCCTATCGTTGGGCCCTGAAATTAATTTTTATTCTCACTCATCTGGTAATCAGCCAATCATTGCGAGTCAAAATAAGTTACCTGCATTGGTGCTGGCCGTGGAGGTGCTGGTCGTGGCGGTTTTGCTTTCTTAGGTGGTAATGCTGGACTTGGAGACTCTGGTCGTGGTGGTGCAACAGTTTTCATTCCCAAATTTGAGCCTAGATATATAAAATAATTTACAATGTGAAGAAAAAAATCAGCATTTCCATAAAAAACCGTAAGTACCTGGACTTGGAATTTGTGAAGCTGAAGTGGGCGCATGCAATATAGCAAATGGATCGCTTCCGAAGTCATCTTTATTCGGCTAGAATATTCAAAGAATTAATTACTAACTCAAATACTCTCTCATATATTCAAAACGGAAAATATTTCCATCATTACTACGTAGGTTGCTGCTTAAGTTTCTGGCCTAACCTAGTTCTAGTGTTTTCCGAAGCAAAACTTTGGGTCAGTCAAAAAGTTTGACCTTTTTTAAGCTAAGTTTCCTCAGACGTCAACTGTTGATTCACTACGGATCGTGGTGTTTTATGAGCTTGAATATTTCAATTTGATGAAAAAATTGAATTTTTCCGCAAACATTTTAGTGCAATGATTTTTTCCGATTTTTGAGAGGGACTAACTCAACAAGAGTGCCGTGATAGCCTCAAATTCGCTTTGGGTGATAAAACTCGGTCCATTCCAAGTATTTAGAGGTGATATAACGATTTTAAATGTTGACGAAGCTCACTCAAAAATGAGTCCGCAGGAAAGTCGTAAAATATCAGCTGTAACGCCGGAACACATTGATGCTGTGCGAAACCTAAAGGTGGAATATTCTCATACGACTTATAGTGAGATTGGGGCATCCTTTGGCATTAGTATGACATGCATGAGGTCAATATTACATGTGGTTTTAGTGACGTAAATGCCTTTCACATGTCAAAACCTCCAAATATGTTTTCAACCAAAAAAAAGAGTTTTGGACAAAAATAGGCCTACAAACTCTCAATAATGCAATTTTGATAGGCTGAAAAACCCTCAATCGTCACTAGAGATTACAAAATTATCATTTATGAGTATAGCATGTCATCCTAGAAGGTTTTAGTGATAGTATCGTGTTTGAAAATAAGAGAAAATTTTCCTTATTTCTGAAAAAACAGACGATTTTCGCAAATTGCAATGCTTCGTTCTGGGAAAAAATGATTTACATGACTGTTATTATACTTTGGAATTGTAGTGCCATGAATTCTGAATAAAGCGGACATTTTTGGAATGAAAATATTCAGAAAATGGGCCAAAAACTGGGAACTATCTGTCACTTCATGAATTTTCACCTTTTGACATGCCTTCATTCAATCGAATATTTGCAGGCCCAAAATATAAAATAATGGTTTCGTTAGCCAGAAATTATTAAATTGAGGATAAACGAAGTTTTTTAGGTGGTTAACAACAGAATAATCAATTTTTCCCATATCGAAAAATGAAGTTTATTGTTGAAATTTACGATTTTTCCAGGTATCCCTTGGAAAGGAGGCTTAGACACACCCAGTAATGTAAAACAATCCCTGCTATAGTGTTTTTTAGCCTAAAAAATGTCAAACTTTCCGATGGAATCGTCAGATTGCATCTGAAAACACTAGAAATAGGTTAGGCCAGAAACTTATGCAGCGACCCTCGTATCTATCTCGTCCAATGATTTTTTTAATTTCACATGGATCAGAGTATAAATTATACGGAATATGTCTATAGACATATATGCTTAGAACACTATAGTGCACACTTACATCTTGTGCTACTGTATTTACACCTTTCTTGTCGCCAAATGGATCTTGTGTAGAGTTTGCAGTGAATGGATCGTTGGATTTTTGAACAAAACTACTTCCGAACCCATCATCAAAGCCGCTGAAACCACTGCTATTTTCATCAAATGTTGTGGCGAATTGATTCGTTCTGAACTCGTTATCTGTTCCATTGCTAAAACTGTGGGCCTTATCATTGAATGGGTCTGCAGTCGGTTCCTAGTAAATATTATTTTTATAATTTAGTCAGCTACAACGATTGTAGATTGTAGATAATTTATATTGAAACAGAGTGGCCCAATATACTTATATTGATATCATTCGACATCACATAGACATTTGCTTCTTAATATTCTGTGTAAGTATATGTATACAAACCGGTTTTGCTTCTAAAGCTTTCTTAGCTTCTCGGAAATCTGGCTCAATTTTCAAGGAAAAGTATGAAGCTTGACTAGGATCGTTTGCTTCAATTGCCGATTTACAAACAACAAGTGCATCGTTTAATTGTCTTTGGCTTTCTTCCAATTGCATGACCAAAGCCTTTATCTAGATTGGATTCAAGAGTATAGTTTCACATGAGAAACGTTGATTTGATTGTATTATTAATTGATGCGGTACACCAACCTGGCATATTTGCAACTGTGTCTCCTGTAAAGTCTTGGATAACTTGTCCAGTTTTTGCTTATTCTCTTCATAATCTCGTTCTAAAGATGATTCTTCATCTTTCAACTTCTGTAGTTCACCCCGTTTTGAGTCCAATTCCGTTTCTTGTTCTCGAATCGTTTCTTCTTGTTTTTGACATTGTTCACGTATTTTTGCAACCTTAAAATGAAGCGAGTGTAACAAATTTAATTGATTTTATAATTTATCTTCGGGTACAAAATTAGTTTCAGGGAGAGAAACCAACCTTGTCTCTTGTATCGTCAATATTGCTATTGACTATAAAAATACTTTCATCAATTTCATCTGTCTATATAATTTTAATTGGCCAATCGAAATTCATTTATTTGTGTGTGGTAAATTATGTGCGATATACAAAGTGAATTTGGAATTTAAAATTAACAGTAATCAAATTCCACGATTTTGTTTTTATATGCGGTGTCATCACAAACAACAGGCCATTAAGCAATCAATAATATATTTTTTTGGTTAACACAGTTTGCAATAGTGGGGGTTTGCCAAATCCAGAAAAATAATAGAATGTTATAGATTTGTACCGGAAAAAATAATGAAGAGAAAAAAAATAAAAGAAAAGTAAAAGTAAAAAATCATAGAAGAAAACAAAAAATTTCATGTTGGTGATTAAGCGGATATTATGGATTAATGGATATGGCTATATGATATGTTTGGATTATAGTTGGTATTGATTCAAAATTGAAGAGTCGACTACTTTTGGGAAAAACCAATTTTGGAAAATCCACCATATCTAGCGACTTACTCTATCATTCATTTGAATTTAAAAAAGAAAACAGAATTCAAGCAAACTCAACTAAAATAGTCAAAATAACAACAAAATTATATCGTGTTTGTGCAATTAAGAGAATAATCATGTGATGAATTAGAATATAGAGATAACCAACCTGCGCTTTAAGGTCATTCAGTCGTTTTTGTGCTTCTCCTTTTTGATTTTCCAGTTGTTTTAGTGTTGCGATCAATGTATCAAGTTCACTTTGCAAATTGCGTACTTCCCCATTTTTAATACGGATGTCAGCTTCCTTTTGAACTAGCTCGCTTTCTAACTGACGTCGTTCTTTGGCTAATTCTTCGATCTCCTTTGAAATCATTTCCAATTCTGGATTTGTGTATACTTGTCGTTGTGGTTCGATTGGTGGTGGCTGCTGTATTGGAGCAATATTACCCACTGGCATTGTATCACCAATTAGGTTACCAATGTTTGAAGCTTCACGTAAACCTGTATTTTACCCAATTATAATAATAATTATTATTATTAATGTTGATTTCGTTAGCGAAGAATTGATGAAGTAATAAACAAAATCACTTACTCGGCGGAATCATGTTCGGAGCGAGAACGTTGGGTGGTTCGAAGCCATTCTTCTTGCGTTCGACAAACCACATTGCCATAGCAAATTGTTCGGAAGTTAATTTCCCCGACTGATTTGTGTCACATAGTGCCCAAATTTGCGCTAAGCACATTTGTGGAATGCCCGATTGCATGAATACTCCCTTTATTTCGCCACCCGATACCAAACCATCTTTGTCTAGATCACTTTTTGCAAATATGATATCATAACGTGCTCGGTCAGCCGGTGTCACAACCCAATCAACTGACGATGGCAACAACGACGAGGATAATGGTGGTGAACCCAATAATGATGGCACACTATTCTGACGACCTGATATTTGTTGTGGCATCGGTGGTATTGCTGGGGGCACATTGCTTAACATGGCTGGTAACGGTGGTACTGGCGGTGGTCCAATGTTAGCAACATCGAAATTTGCAACGAAATTATCGCTGCTGGGAGCGCCAACCTTTCCGACTGATCTTTGCTGTAGCTCCACTGGCAACGTTTGTGGTATCGCACGCTTATCAAGTGCAAGGTAAACTAAATGCATGGCCTTTTTCCATTATTTCGCAGACAAGAATAAAAAAAAAACGTTAACTTTAGAATGCAATATTGTTATGGATAAGAGAGAACGAGTGCGAAAACATAATCTAGCCTGACACACTTACAACAATGAATTCATGTTTATCTAAACTTCCATCTCGATCCTGATCGGCCAAATCCCATATTTTACTAAGTGCGTCCAGCGGTAGCTTTGAGTCCATCAACACACTACGCACTTTATTTCCTGGTAATAATCCATTGCTTGGTTGAAGAGATTCAAACAATTCTTCATACTTCAGTTTGTCGACTGGTTTTATGCTCCAGTCGTCGTTGGTTGAAGGTACTGACTGGATTTTCGGTGTCACAATTTTCGGTATTTCACCCTAAATACACGAGGTGGATGCCGAAGTTTAGAGAAAAGATAGTGATTATGAATAACACGTCGATGAATATCGTTTTTGTTTGATACACTTACGACTTTTGGTGGATTTGGTGGTTCGTTGAATATATTCGTCATATTTATTGTATCGCCTGTTTGTGCCAGTGCAACCAGTTTCAAAGCAACGAACAGACCAGCCTTGTCCAGGTAGCCTTTACCCGTCGGATCAGAGAGATCCCATATCTGTTTGTAAAGAAAGAAATCATTCATTGATTTTAACATCAATATTCTACATATTCAATCTCTCAAATTACTACTCACTCGACTCAAAACAACATCGCTCAAGCCAGATTTTTTCAAGAATTTGGCAGCTGCCAATGCTTCGATAGCACCAGTGCCTTTTGGATCAACTTGTTTATAATATGCTTCATATATTGGATTGTGTTTGCCAGAAACCTACATAATTGGATGATTAGCACACGAAAAAAATAGCACAAAAATATTAACAACATTCCATTTCAAAGACCACAAAAAAATAAGTGTTCATTTTCAAATGAGTGTCGGTGTCGATATCATATTGATTTTATTCGCACCACAAACTTCCAAATACAGAAAAATAGTTCTATGGCGATACGAAAAGTCAATAACTCCCATTCGCAAAAATCTATAATATTTTATCATTCTGCAACAGACAACTTGTTGTCTTAGTCGATTTTTTAAAAAATAATAATTCGTTGTGAGGATTTGCATATCGAAGTGTGCCCGTGAAAAGTAAAATCCAAATTTTCGATAATGATAATATGATTCAAGTATAAAAACACCCTCATTTTTGACATCTCCAACATTAGCACAAATATCTCTATTGAATTATCAAAATCAATTGTTATGATATCTGGTCAGCATTTACATGTTTTTCAAGATTTTTAACTGCCAAATATATCGATTGACACCAATTTTTACATCAAATGGTAGATTTTTTTTCTAGCTGACCATTGATAATTCACTTGTAGGTAGTTTTTAATCAATTCAGTTCATAAATATGAAAAAAGTGAAATACCTTTGTCGGACTTGGTAGTGTCGACGCCATGTTTTTTAATCATACTAAATGAATTTGAGAAAATCGTTGCTCAACTCGAAAATGTCCGAAGTCAATGTAAGTGTACTGAAGTGTCAAAATTGGCGAAAATGTCAAGAGTGGAAAGATATTATGTCCGTATAAGCAGTGTATGCTAGCGAGGGTACGTTCCATATTACGACAAACAATAACAAACCAAATGTTTAACCAATGCTTCTTCGTTGGGTTTATTTATAGGTTTATTTATAGGTTTATTTATTCAGTACATATTGGAAAATACAAGAGTTCAATTGAAAATTGATAATTAATTTGGAATTTATCAATGGAAATCTATCGGATTAGATATGTTGTGTTTTCTGACATCACTCAATGTTTGGGTTTTTCTTCATTTCATAGAAAACCAATTACATGTTTACTTCGAAGTCTGTGCTCCGCTGCACCCAATCCTTCAGAGCAGCTAAGCCGTTGCAGTTCGCTTGGTCGTAATATGGTAATTTTTGCATATGATTGTACCACCAATTATGGAGTTTTGGCCATTTTTCGGCTGTCACCGGTACTATCATATCGATTGTACTGGAAATAAAATGTATAACACTATTAAATAGAATAACGATAAATAAACAATCAATAACAAACCTCACAATCGTGACAATGGACAAGTCTGCTATAGTGATCTGAAAACCAATATAAAAAGAAACTTTCTATAAATTGTAAAAATCATATAAATTCTTCCATACATGATCACCGGCAATAAATTTATTCGATGTTAGGAATTCTTCCAAAATGTTATATTGCTCTTCCAGTTTGATTGCATGCTCTGCAACCTGTTGTTTTTTCAATTTATTGACGATTATTTGTCCCTGTATCAATGTTTTCGAATGAGACTTTCTTTTATTATCGATTTCAGTTTGTCGTATTGAATGCGATACCTACAATTGCGTCGCTGTCACGTCGAAATAATAGTGTGCCGCTATAAAATAATTTATTCAACACGTTTATGCGTTCGATTGGATGTGATGGCCATAAGGTATTGTCCACTTTGCCATAGTTTTCACATAAATAAACCAAAATGGCATGACTATCGGTCAATGTAACATTTGAGTCTCTGAACGTCGGCACTGTATGCAATGGTGTAATCTAATATGCATAAAAATCAATTGAACATTAAAAAAAACTATTTCCAGAATTATCAACTCACCTCTAAATAATTTTCGCTTAGATGTTCACCTCTCGAAAGATCAATAAATTTTTCTTCAACATCAATTCCAAGGGCTTCAATAAGTAGCAGTACACTTCGAACCGGTGGACTTCGTTTATCCAAATATAATACCGGCTTCATTTTTTTTTTAAATCTTTTTCCACTCACCTCCTCTACGCTATGATTGAATAAATATCGAAGATCGCACGATCAGATGCGTCTGTCAAACTAATAAAAACTGAAATAACCGATCAAAATAACATTGAAATATATAGCTCGCGATCACACAGACGTTATTATATATTAACATATGTGTATGACAGTAGAAAGAATCAAATTTCTTCTCTTCACGGATTTTTTTCTTCTGTTTGTCAATAGTAAATAACCATGTTATTGTTTGCTATGTATTATACACACACGTGTGCAAGGGGGGAGGGTATTCCGGTTTACCCCCCCTCTAGGATTCCAAATGTGAGAGATTTGGAAAATTTTACACTAGATATAATCGATTTTCAAAAGTGAGGACCTTTTTTTTTAGGTCTTCATTTTTTTGACACCCATTTATAAATTTGCAGGCCCCCATTTATAAATTTTGTGGTAGTGTATCTTTTCATATACGGTATGAAATCGATGCGGTCTATTTGATATCAATGTCTTAAATGGCTGAATAGTCACTATCACGGCTAAAAAAAATCAGCGTTGACAACACATACTATGACCGAAGACAGTGATTTGTTAAGTCTATTTGCCATGTGAGAGAAGCCAAAATTGTATATGTTCTACTCTGACCCACCATTGCGAGCTGATAAATTGCTCATTCGATCAATTGATTTAAAAATACATCTATTGCGCAAATTTTTACGATGCCATTCAGGATGGAAAAAATGGAAAACACTTGCTTGAAATATCAATTATTATGGTCAATGATTACATTTCGTTCTAACCATTATTTCATCTTTTTAAATAACGGTGTACTACTCTAACAGTGATGATTTATCCATTTTTTGTTGATGTTCGCATGGCCGTGACCACTGTTTCATGTGTATTTAGGCGGGACATTCTTTGATTTCACTTATTTAACAAACAAATGCGATAACGAGCAACCGGAGCAGGATGGAAAATGGTTTATATATGCTATAAGAAACTGTCTTTAGATTTTTACCGCTTTTCAAAAGTAAAAGTATTCATTTCAATTTTTTGCTATCTTATAAGAAAGTACAGAGGGAATATTTTGAGCAACAAATCACTAGATATAAATCCACTTAATGGAATTATCTATTAAAACACACCAAATCGTCCACTTACTTTAGATTTAATTTATGAATTTATTGAACTTTAATTGCAAGCTATAGCTTCATATATGAACTTATAAAAAAAAGTAGTTACTCGCTAATTTCTTTTAAAAAAAGAAAATATAAGGTACTAAACGTTCTAATAACTAAAAAAAATAGTTTGAACAATACTTTCTACGGTGAACGTACCCTATACAATATTGAGTATAGAACCATGGAACGCACCACAATAAGAAAGCATGGCATGACATTTCGATTGGTATGTCATTTGTCGCCGACGAAATCTTCACATGCAATCGAATTTATCATTGATGCAACAGAATGGACAATTGAAAATTCTGATTTTCATACGAGTTCCGCGATAATTTGTGAGTATAATTGATTCTTAGTCGATAAGTTGGGAAGAGAACAAAAATTAAAATATTGTTTTTCTCAAATTTCTACAGAAGCCTCTACGAAACACATACCCGAACCGATCGAATCGTAACCAAATCAAAATCAACAATGTCTCGAGTCCTGAATATTGTCCCAATAGTGTATCGAACACAGCGTAGTTTGTTAATGATAAATCCAAAACTGCAATGCGTTTCGGCTCTAAACTATTCAGCCCGACCAAGTTTTATATCACGAATAGTTACCAACCTGAAAAATGAGTTTGAAAAGAACAAAGAGATGAAAGAAAACATAAAAAAGTTCCGTGAAGAAGCTCAAAAACTTGAGCAATCGGACGCATTAAAGTCAGCACGTAAGAAGTTCAACATGGTGGAATCGGAAGCCTCAAAAGGTAGTGAAGTTTTCAAGGATCAAATAGAATCGTTGAAAGGAAAGATGTCAAGTGCTATTGATGAGGCTGCCAAATCGGATCTGGGCAAAAAGGCTGGACAATGGGGTGAAGAATTATCGAAGTCAGCGAAAGGTGTCGGTGACACCATCAGTGAAACAGGCAAAAAGATAGGCCAAACAAACGCCTTCCAGAGTATATCAGAGGCATCGGAAATTGTGAAAAAAGAAATTGACACGCAAAGCATACAAGGGAGAGTCTACAAAAGTCCGGCCAAACTACGGAAACGTAAAGAAGTGGATGTTACAAGTGACAGTCGGATATTCGAAGCAAATACTGAAGATACTGGAATTGAATTGCACAAAGACTCCAAATTTTATCAATCGTGGGAGAATTTCAAAAATAATAATCAGTATGTGAACAAAGTTCTGGACTGGAAAATGAAATATGAAGAGTCGGAGAATCCAATGATTCGCGCTTCACGTCTTCTCACCGACAAAGTATCGGATATTATGGGTGGTTTATTTTCAAAAACCGAACTGTCGGAAACACTTACGGAAATTTGTAAAATCGATCCGAATTTTGACGAGAAACAATTTATACGAGACTGCGAAAACGACATTATACCAAACATATTGGAAGCGATGATTCGCGGTGATCTGGGAATATTGAAAGATTGGTGCTTTGAAAGTACATACAATATCATTGCCACGCCTATTGCCCAAGCACAAAAAGCTGGATACTATTTAGATTCAAAGATTTTGGACGTAGAAAATGTAGATTTGGTCATGGGAAAAGTGATGGAACAAGGACCAGTTCTCATCGTCACGTTTCAAACTCAACAAATTATGTGCGTTCGAAATGCCAAACACGAGGTAGTCGAAGGTGATCCAGAAAAAGTGATGCGAGTCAACTATGTTTGGGTATTATGCCGAGATCCAGAAGATCTGAATCCAAAATCGGCATGGCGCCTATTGGAGTTAAGTGCTAATAGTAATGAGCAATTCGTATAGGCTTTATTATTCCCACATGTAAATAATACAAAATAAATTTGTTGAAACATAATCATCGCTGTTTTGAGATTCTTTTATTGTTGTTTAAAATACAAACCTTATCGATGTAAGTAAAGCAATCGATCAAATGGGAAAAACGCTAGAAAATGCAGAATGCATTAAAAAAATTGATAAGATGTGTCCTCGATGAATATCGATCCTCCATGTCCATACTCTCACGATTCCTGCAGCTATGTATTGACTTACTTCGATGTCACACATGTACACATTCGTATTTAAAATTCAAATTGTAACAAGTACAAACGATGTGATAAATAGGCCCAAGGCTTAAATTCTGACTCAGTTATTGTGTACACTTCAACAAAGCAACCAGAACATTTATCTTTTGGTATATTAAGGTATATTACAGTTCGCTATGCAGAAAAAATTAAATATTCCAAAAATTTTCTGGCTCATCTAAGGGTGAGAACAGACTTTGCAAGGAAAATGCTTGCAGCAAGTTTTTTTTTTCAGTAAGAGCAGTGTACTACAGTAGTGTAAATTTTGGTCGATATTTTTGTCCAAACGTCTACAAGGTATGCTTGAATGATCGTTTATGTAAATATTCGCAGAAATTCGATAATTTTAGCACTATTTATTCCACGAAGTAGACATTAGCGCAGAAATTTCGACCAAATTGTATGCAAGTGAAGTACTTGTACGCAAGCATTTGCATGCACTTGGTTTGCATGCAATTTTGTTCAACATTTTTGTGTATACGTCCACAAAGTAGATTATATAGTGCTACAAATATCGAATCTCTTTGAATATTTACATATCTTTATAAAATCGATCATTTTGACACTATACAACCGGTAGGACGTTTGGACAGAAAATACCCGACGAGAAATTTGCGGTGAAATAGGTGTACGTCGACTATCCGTCGCATATCCGTTTTTGAGTGCGGATACTCGCAATGCGAATAGGTATCCACAATAAAAGTTGCCGCAAAATGTTATCGCTGAATACCCTGCGACTATTCGCGCTGCGATAAATGTGAAGTTGTAACTGAATCGAGTGTGATATTTCGACTTGAAACTTCGTACAACCAACGTGAAGTTGGCTGCGTTCGACGGACTTTTTCGTATTGCGACTATACGTAGAATAGTCGCAATGCGATATTCCGCAAATTTCTCGTCGGGATATCGACCAAAATTTATACTATTGTAGTACACTACTCTTACTTGCATGAATGTGTCATTCTTGGAATCAAAGCCATGTACGTTGAGGAAAAAAATGCTTCCTAGAAGCAGAAATTTTTTTTTTCGAACTGTAAACTAGACTTTAACCACTAGTATTTTTACGAACCATTTCATAGATGATTTTTCATTTTGTATTTTCTCAATAAAATATAATGTCGATTTCAATCTAAATTATCATAGATCATAATGTCGGAAAAACCAATTTTGTACATGAATATTTTGAGTCCCCCATGCCGAGCGGTGCTAATGACTGGAGCTGAGCTTGGAATTGAGTTCGATTTGAAGGTCATTGATTTGTTGGGATTTGAGAATAAGAACGATGATTTTGTCAAGGTATGGAAACTGTAATTTTTTTTTCAAATATATGTCCCTAGAAAAATCCTGCTGGTGAATGTTTCATAAAAGATTTTCTTCTGAGGATAGATGAATCCTCAGCATACAGTACCTTTTTTGGATGATAATGGTGTTGTAATCGTGGACAGTCATGCAATCTGTGCATACTTAAGCGAAAAGGTAGTATATCAATAACTTTTCTTTTTCTATCGCAATTGCAATAATTGCTAAATTGATAAAATTTGAAATTAAGTATGGAGAAACGGATCGCTTGTACCCACGAGATTTGGCGAAACGTGCACTTTGCGACTCGCGTTTACATTTCGACAGTGGCCATCTATTCGCTCGCATGCGTTTTATATACGAGCCGATCCTATACATGAAATCGCCGGAAATGCCTGAAGGTATGGAAACAAAAGGAGATTTTTGCCACAGATTTTTTTCGAACTGTAAACTAGACTTTAACCACTAGTATTTTTTTACGAACCATTTCAAAACCAATGGTTTTTTTTATTGTCTTCTTCTACAAAATTGGTTTTTCCAACATTGGATGATCTATGAAGATCGTATAATTTATGCTCAAACCGTTTGGGATATCATGGAGAGATGGTTCGAGGAATCATCGTATGCGTGTGGCGATGAAATGACAATTGCTGACTTTTGTCTCGTTGCTTCGGCGGAGTCATTGACCGAAAATGCCCCAATGGACCCATCAAAGCATCCAAAAATCATGAAATGGATGGAACGTATGTCGCAATTGACATACTTCGAAGAGCTAAATGCGGCCCCAGCAAGGGATCTGCAGGGTGGTGTTCGTGAAATGCTGAAGAAAAATGCAGAATCCGAATAAGTTCTATTATTGAAGAACCAAATACCGTTTGACCTGTACCTATCAAATGCTATTTGAAATAATAAATAAAATGACAATGTTTCATCAATAACATGACAGATTTATTTATTTATAATCTCTAAAATTAGCCATCAACATGTCTATTGAGTGTCGTAAGCATTTATTGATTTTTTATTGATATTATTATCTATTTAAATATTTATTAAAAATGACGTTAAATCAGCATTGGTTTTATATTGTATCGTTTTTTTTTATCATCTTGCAAATTGTACAATTTGAACATTGCACATGTGCGCTACTCAATTTCCCATTATCCGTTACTAAAATAGAGTTTGACTTTTTCAAGATTTCTTCAACTCTTTCGCCTTTGCAGACGAAACGAAACGATTGTTTCGTTTCCGTTTACAATTACACCGTTTTTGTTTGTTTGTTTGTATAAAAATATCAATAAAAAGCAACTTCAAATAGTGTTACAGTTCGGACAATATTGTTTTCTTCAATTTAATTCAGAAGATTTGCTGCATAAATGGTATGTCAATTTAAAATTTGATTTCACTGCAAGTACACCACGTAAATGAATGGCAAAAACAAAGATCGAAATCATTTTCGTATCGAAACTGTTTGAAACCAAAAAAGAAAATTAAGATGAAGAAGAAAAATTGTTCTAACCAATATAAGTTTTGGCTCAAGATGCACGAGTTAGATAGAATTTAAAACATTAGGCACGAAGTTAGCTCATAACTTTTTACAACTTTTAACATATATAAATTTAATTCAATTTAAACAATTATCCATGCATAATATGTTATGGTTTTTATTTCGACGCTCGGTATTTTGTGTTTCAAAGCTCTGCTAATTTTTTTTTTCATTACAACTCTGTTAAATGTTTCCCTTAAAGTTTTGGTTTTTTATTTTGCATTTCAAGCACAAACGGATTAACTTAAAAATTTCAATTTGTTATCATACAATGGTTAGATATTGAATAGTACCAATCGACGATTTTATTCGTAATACGGGTATACATTTATAATTATTTACTGCTTCATTTTCCTTATTATTATTTTTAAACTTTTCATTTAAGGTATGTTTTTTTTCACACATTTTTCTATGATTTCCATATTTGCGCAAAATGATTACGTCATTTCGATACATTTCATCATTTAAAGCCAGTTTCATGCACCAACAATCTACATAATAATAACCCGTGATCGCAAGTTCATTGCAATTTGAGTCTAATCAGTTTCCCTTCATCCAACAATGACAACGATCGATATCGTTTTACTTCATTGCAAATATTATGATTAGCATTTTGCTTTCGCGCATAAATGTTACAAAATGGGAAAACAAAGAATGTTTGAAAGTTTTGAAAATGTTGGTCCAAAAGCGTTAAAAGATTGCACAACTTTGTAAGACGCAATTGATTTGGGAATAAAATTGCGTTTCTTTACAATAATGTATCGAGAATTGGGTGTCCGTTTATATAACAAAAGTTGTTGGGTATTTTGGTTTTTTCTGGGAAAAATTATTTTATGGGTTTTCCCAGAAAAATCCAAGAGTCCCGACAACATTGTGTCTAAAATGATCTCCTATTTCTGAAGGATATATATGCGAATTCCACATTTTCAGAACATCTCGCTACGTTAAATTGTCAAAAATCGCTAGGCTTTTTCTAAGAAAAAAATCTCAATTTAGGTCACATCGTTTTTGTTCGTATTATCACCGAATTGCATTTACAGTTTATCGAGTGGATGAAATATTCGTATTTTAAAGGAACAAATTGCTCCGAAAAAATACTGATAAAACTGTACGGCAACGGACGGTCGTTGTATTCTGTGAATATCCGGCATAATAAATATATGCGTCGCGATTGTTTCAAATTGTGTTTGATTTTGACTCAAGCGTAAGTTTTATCACTAAAAAGTTTCCAATATCGAAACAAAAGTGAAAGTAGTATCAACTGATTTCATATGATGCATTTTTTCATTGTCTCTTCGCTATTCATTTTCCGAATTATTCTAACATGATGTTTGAAACAGTATAAATTAAAAATCATTTCGAATATAACGGGCCTTCCAAACTCGAAATTTATGATGGTTTTGATGCATAGAATATTTTGGCTTTCTTTACTGCAGAGACTTCCGTTACCGGGCGTTGAAACAATCGCGACTCACTTGTAATAGTTTCAAATAATGGAAAAGCATCTACATCGTAGGGTGAATGTAGTTCTCGATAATTTAAAATATTTATTATAGCATCAAGGAAGTGATTTAAGTCATGCGTTCATCACAAATCCCTTATAAAACACTTGTCGTTCCAACATTTTCTTCGAAAAAATATTTTACTCTCGCCAGATATGTTTATTTGTCTTTTTTTTCATTGAACAACAGTATTTGAAAAATGGTCGATTCTAATAAAAATTAATCAGATTGAAAACTTCAAAATGTGAAAAGTTCAAACTTTTAATAAAAGTAATAACATTTTTCAGACAATTTTGTTTACAGTGTAAATGATTTTTTCCCATTTATTGAAATTTGCTAGAAAACCAGAATTTTAACAGTATATTGCATACTGTTTTGTGAATGTTTGCTCGCTGGGTTTCCTACAGGGTGTGACCAAATTGCGTGCAAATATTTAAGAGATTTAATCGTTGCAGGTCGAATTAAAATTTTGATGGATTTCTTGGAGATACTGTAGTGTTCGAGAAAAAATTACGGTTTTCGACAATTTTCCAGATTTCTTGGATGTTTGCAGTCGACGCCATACTTGACCAAATATAAATGTATTTTTTGAATAAATACCATTCAAAGAAGCCAATATCTATGATGACAATTGCCTGAATTGTGACCACTTTGAAGCCAAGAGTGGTGGTCCCTACATTTTTTTCATGTTGACTCTGACCTTGAGTTTCTCTTTGCACGCCATCCAGATACACCAAGTACAAATCCAAATTCAAGAAAGCCTCTATTTATCCAAAGAATACATTAAATTGCATAAAGAGGTTCACAAAACTCAACCCGAGATCGTGAGCAGATATCAGGTTGATAATTTTTCATAATTTATCGCACTATGTTCGAATTTCCTACCACATAATAAAGTGTGTCGATAAAAATAAAACTGGGATTGCAGATAGGTTTCTTAAAAACGCAACATGAATTAGCGCTACGCCAAATCGTATCACCGAAACTCATGTTACGTTCGCGTTAAATGGAAATGTTGCGTTTTAAAAAAATCTCTTTTCTGTTTCGTCTTTCTCCCAGGACTGTATCATTCGACAGAACGACTGATGTTTATAGCATCATAGTAATGATGGGAAATTTGAACAGAGAGCGGTATTCAATTACTGTAATCTTACTCCAACAATGTGTCGGCATCGTTGAGGTGCTAAATGAAGCGCTTTTAAAATAATTATTAGTTATATTATTTGAATGACTCATCGAGTTTCGGGCAGCATTCATACTACGTTCATGGGATTTTCCGTGATTCGGAATTTTATGCGCGATTCCTTGGGCAAAATCACATTCCCGTTAAGTTCGATGTCGCTGTCTTCGTAGTCGTCGCTGTTGTCTACTGAAGCGATTTTTCGATGCACATTAGAAACCATGTTGCTGTTGCTGTTATTGTTAATATTGTTGTTATTGTTGATGTTGTTTAAACTATTGTTGTTGGGTTGAGTTTGGTCGCGCGCACGTTGTAAGCCAATGAATGTTTGATGAGCTGTGGCGGCATCCATACCTGATGGCAAATCAGGTGATAGAATTTGTGAATGGCATTCAATTTCAATGCAATTTCGATTTTGTCGTTGGTCAAATAGATCAAATTCGAACCACGCAGAAGAAGGACAAGAAGAAGCGGCAGAAGCAGGCGCAAAAAATGCTGTTTTTGCGTTGAGCAAAAATGGCCTATTGGTTTCATTGTTTGATACCAACTGGTTTTTTATGCGGTTGGTGCTGGCTACTCGTGTATTTGATGAGATGATGATCGGCAAATGAGCTAGGTTGTTATAATTGGTTGGTTTTTATATTTTCTCTGTTCATGATGGCAAAAAAAAAATCAAACACACACTCAATTAAAGAAAGAAATAGTTTTATTTTATCAAATTATTTTTGTTTTTTTTTTTTCATTTTCTGCTGAATTATTCATTCGAACAAGCTCAGAAATCTCAAACCAACGATTGGGATCATAATGGAGCAAGATAACAACAACAAAAATTTATAGCACAGTATACCATGCTGGGTGGTGGTAGAAAAAAGCTCGTTCTCTTATTATTCATTCGGTTACCGAATTCCGGTAATGCATTTCTCATAAATGAGTGTGTGTTTCGTTTTTAAAATCACAACATATTGAATTCTTCTCATTATATACTTGTTTCACAAACCAAATCTAAGCAAATTGCTTGCCCCTCATTTTTTCGTAAATATTCGTGTATTGATCATTCCATACGTACCATCATTCGAAAGAATCTTAAATCCAATTTGGATAACCCAAATGATGAACAATTTATTATATTATTTAAATTATAATCTTCAAATGGTCGTTAATTATTTTGGTCGCGTATGAAATGATCAATGTGTGCTTTTGTATACATGTGTGTTTTGTTTTGTGTTGGTGTTGGTGTTGGTGTTCGTGCCTCAGTGTTGTTTGTATTTTATTCAATGTCCGAAAAGGAATGCCTTGATTTTAATGCATGAATATAATTGGGATAAACAAAGAAGAAGATACAAAACAGAATAAAGTCTGCTCACAAATACGTCTAATGTATTGAATTGTGTCAAAAACAATATAAAAAAAATAATATGATGAGTTTCTTTTTCAAAAAATAGAAAAATCCACGATTTAGATTCGTACATTTTTTCAACATTGCTTTGTATAAGTTTACTTTGACATCAACATCGTCAAAATACACCGATTCAAGTTAAGAGCACCAATTCGGGGTTCTGACAAAAAAAAATTAACCCAAAAAACATAAATTGACCAAGATTCCGTAAGATTTTCAGTTTTAAAAGATTGAAACGAAATGTTTTTTGTCACATTTAACATTTTTTTCTTCATTTTTATAACAAACTTCTGGAATTTTTCTATTTTTCGAAGAAATTATTATTGAAACAAACTATTTTTTGAAGAATCGATTTAATCAATGGTAATAAATAATAAATTATACAGTATGTTATACGTGTAGGACAATTTAACATTAAAATAATTTTAATTATAATATTGAAATAATTTTAATAAAAAATTCAATAAAGTTGGAGAGCATTTAGCTGCTTTAAGGGAAATAAAGTACAAACATATTAACGGATTGCTTTGGTAAAACAAATTATGGGATTCGTTTCAATATTTACGGAATGTATAAATAGTTCAGATCTACAAACTATGAGAACGACAGATTAAAACTCAAATCGTCAACGCTCAAAAATCGAAAGATACATTAAAAAAATTAAAATGAACGGTAACTTTTATGAAAACATGCAACGGTTTTGTGAATATTGATTTCAAGATCCTGACATTTCAAGCACAATTTGTTTCAACGTGAGAGGATGCATTGTTGAATTTTGATGGAATTAAGACAATATCTCTTATGAATTATTTACTTTGAAAACTTCAAATTCAAGATTTTCTATGCATGAAATTTTTCAAAAATTGTACATCCTTGTTCTAATCGAAAGGATAAAATTTCGAAATGTTTTGTGCAATGCCTTTTTCTTGAAAATGAATGAAATTTCGAAACATTAAATAAATTCACTTGCTTTGATGATGGAGCAAATGTTGTATGTAGTATGGAGAATTCAAATAAAGGTGTTTCAATCATTTTTCTTGACAATGAATCGATCGAAATAAACGAAAGGAATTAATTATGATTTCTAAATGGTTTTAATTGAAAATATATTTCGTTCAAAATGTCCACAAATATTTGTAACAATGTTTGCTAGCCGGACGCTTAATTTTTTGGCACTTGACACCAGCGCCGCATATAGTAAGAAGTTAAACGGTTGTGACTACCGCGGCGCACTCGTTAGTTGCTAGGAGGCATTGATTTGTAATATATATTTTTCGATGCGTTGATTGAAATTTGCGGTGATTTGAATTGATCTTTCGGGGCTAGTCTGGGGGACACAATGTTGAAATGTATAATTTCACGAAATTCATGATTCGAGCTCGTAATTTGCAATTAGCATTGACTTTTTTCGTTGTTGAAAATTACCAAACAAATAATACTAATAATCTTAATCAAAATAATTTTAACAAATACTGTGCTTGAAAGTTTGTGGCATTTAAAGCTATATATAATTCGCAAATCGGTGCTTTGATTGGTGAAATTTCTGATAAATAACATAGGCATCTGAATCAAAGAAGTCATTTGCCGACCATAAACTACTTTTTTGGTGAAATAAGAGAAAGCATGTTGCAATTTACTTTTGAAATGTACTTCACTATTAGTTCAAATGAAAACCGTCATGTGATCATACGAATAGCGCTCAAATCGTTTTGAAGAATTTCCATACAAAATGACAGTGAGGCTCTTTTGCAACATGCTATTTGGTAAATTCTTTCGATTTGCTTTCCATACAGATTTAGGATTTGTCTGTCCATAAAAATAAAGAATTTACCAAATAATCCACTATTCAACCAATATAGTTTAGGGCCGGGAATGACTTTCTCTGATATGATTGTATGTTATGTGTTTTTTTTTGTTCAAACCAATTTTTACTACAGTAAATAACAGAGTTGAGTGTCATAAAGCAAAACATCCAATTCAGCCAATGTTCCAAGCTCCACTATAATGGATTCATTCAATTTTATTTTGAATTCAGCGACTCTTTTGATGCACGTCTACTGTGTGTTTTTACCGCTACAAAAAAAATAAAGAAAAACTAAATCAAAAAGAGTAAAAGATGTCTATTACTAAAACTTAGAAAAAAACAACAACCAAATTCCATGAATTATAAGCTCAATACCAAATTGCTTTTATATTTGGATTTAAATTTTAAAATCGACATTTATTCCACATATTAATTTCTTAATTAAAATACATTCGCGCATCATTTATCCATTTTGGATGTACTTTTGGTCTGGAGTGTACTAGCAATTCCTTTTTCAAAAGGAGAATCAAGCGATTGTGTTTGTTCAGCGATGTTAATTGAGAGAACCGCGCAGTAGCAGCAACCAAAATTCACACAACATTCATATGTAGTGTGAATGTAAACCATATCCCTCAATTTGTTTGTGTTGTGCACGACTTGAGATTTCTCTTTCTTTGTTGCTCATATTATTCAAATCAATTTATACATGTATTTGCACAAGAAAAAAATTATTCTATTCCAGAATAAAAGCTTCGATTTGAACTAAGAAAATATAAAAGTAATGTGTAATGAAAAACAAATGAAGAAAATTCAATAGTACTAATCGAATGCACAATGACGAATGAACGAGTTAATATTGTGCATACAAATGTATATGATTCTTCCTGTGTGTGATGCAAGTGTGTGCAAAGATACATGTATAGAACGTCGACGAATTTAAGGAGAATATTTTTAATTTTGCCACGCTTATGATTCGCAAGGCGACGAATTTCATCTTTTCAGTACAAAAATGATTCACGTCACTCTTCTACTGTCCACCTTGCGAAAGCGTCGGTATTCACATGGCGCTCATCTCGAACCCATTTTATACGGATGGGCAGAGTGAGCAATGCATCGCATATGCTACACAATACTCCTGGCAACAAACTTTTTTGTAATACCGTAAATTTTTCAATTGATTTCTTTCTCCCATTTTCAATATTTTGCAGGGTTGAAATTGAAATGAAAACCAAAATTATGATGAATTGCATGCATATGATCAAAATTGGTAGTTTGTGGTTGACAGTGTTCTATTGTCATAGGACAATTATCCCTTTGATGCGCTTTTTTTTTATTTTCGAATGATTTTGATGTATGTTCTGTGCCACGATAAATAGAGAAAAACCCCATATTTAGGTTTTCGGGAAAATTGCGTATTTATCGAGAAAATCGGAAAAGAGTCAAGAGTGTCGAATTGCTATGACTGCCTGAAAAAATTAGATTTAATAAAACTAATGAAGCAGACAGTTGGATTGATGTGCTTTGGTCCTATGAGGAATAATTTTACTATTGAGAATTTAAGAATACAAAAACCTACAAGATTTGGAATTCTGTCATAATTTCACGTTGAATGAACACAGAAAACTTTCGATACAGCTGACAAATTGTATCGAGTAAGATTTCAATCATCCAAAGATATTCAGTAGTTTCGTAGCTATAGCTATATACCGTATCTGATTGTTTCTGGAACCAGTGCGTGGTAAAGGGTTATGATAACTATTCTGACGAAATGAAATAATACTTTTCTGCGTGAGATTTCTCCATATATTCTCCCCCCTCTTCGTCTCTCGCTCTCTCTATCTTATTTAATTTTTGTACCAGTTTGTGAATACTCTTTTTGCCCATCGAATATGGTGAAAGTGGTGACATAAAATCTGTCAATGGAGACAAAGAAAACTGATGGAGACAAAGAAAACCAGTTTTCAAATTTTATCGCCGAGATGATGATATAAATAATATTTGCGCGGATAGGGAGTTCTGTTTCGTGCTCGTACAATCGTGAACCAACTAATTGACTGAGACTTTGCAGAGATGTTGAAAGTTTTAATTTATTTGCTATGGATAGAAATCGTATCGAGTTTCATTTTGAATGTTGGACATTTGCAAATGTGGGGAAATCGCAGACGAAAAAGTTCATACAATTCCATCACTAAAATTATCACCGGAAATCCATACATACATCACAATACAAAAACCGGCATTTATCCGCGACAGCCGTTTTGGAATTTTGAATAAACGGAAAATTTTGAAATGTGTCCGATTTGTAATGAGCATTTATGTGTGTGGTATCTTAAAAAAAATCAAATACATTCAACCGAATAAACAAATTATATCGTTTATTTGTGGAATTAACTTCTTTTGATAAAAATAGGAGACCAAAAGAAAAAAAAACAAAATTATCAAAGTATTACCACACGTTTCCTGTGTCTTCAAAAAATGATATGACAAAAATTACTGTAAGAACGGTTTAATGTGAAATGAAGAAGCAAGCAAATCATTTATTCTAGTGGTTCATATCGATATCCTATCTAGTTCATAACGTTTTTTAAAGCAATGATTTCGTGCTAAAACTACAAATATAAATTTTCTAAATTTCATATTATTACATTCATTTTTTACTTTGAGCTCAATAAGCAATATTGGATCAAGCGGACATAATTTCAGTGTTTTTCGGAACTAAAAATGATGATTGTATTTTGTTTCTATGGTTTAGATTTAGTTTTTAGTCTTTTATTGTCAACCGAAAAAATGAGGCTGACTCATCATGCTTATTTTGTCATGGAGAAATGTGACGAAAATATGAAAAAAAACATCATTGGCGAATTAGATTTTGTGTCCAGCCATAATACATTCCTTAACATTTTATTTAAAGAATTCAATCGATTGTTTTTCAGAGCTTTATTTGTTGATTTCACTCAGTCGGATTTATTATGGACATCATTTTCTTAAAATTCAATAATAAATCGTTCATCAACTTATAAATAACTCTTTAAGAATTAATTAAAACATTTTGGTCAGCGTTTGTACAACATTATAATGTTCTAATTCTTAAATAATATTCAGAATGGGATAAGGGGGTTTTCTTCTTCTTTTCCTTAGAAATAAAGGCGAGTCAATCAATGACTAAGGAAGTTTGAAACAATAAACAATTTATTTCTCTTTGAATTCGGGATTTAGGAGGGATTCTTCGTCCCATTTCTATTTTTCGACAGTGATTTTTATGTATATTTGGATTTGGATTTGTATTGATGTCTACGATTCATTGCCATCCACTTAGAAAATTTCACTTACCATAACCTTCCCCTTGTAAAAATAAACGAAATGCTTCGGCTAATTTAGCCGGTTGTTCTTCCAACACCATTGCACAGTCAGATATCTAACAGAATTATCGAAGAAAAAGTTAAAATATAATATTACAATGTTAATCGAATATATGTTAGGATTTTCTCTATCGTTTTCAGGCACGAGTAACTATTGAAAGTAATAATTAATAATAGTTTTATATTGAAACCTTCATCCATGAAGAGTTCGTTGGATCTAGGCGTCCATTGAAAGTAACGGTGTCATCGGAATGTGGCGATAAAGATCCAGTTATATTAATAACCGGCATCTTCAATGTTTTTGACGATTGTGGAGTGCCAGATGGCGTTCGAGCAATATGCAAGTCGGTTCGATGTATATATGAGTTGATGAGCATAGCTAGATTGGTTGGATTTACGGCACGTTCGAAATGGGACTTGTACATCTGGAAATAATATTTCAAATGATTTTTTTTAAAACCAATATAAGGGAGATGGTCTAGTTATGAGACAGCGCCAGTTATGAGACAGTCAATTATTTCTGTCATACGCTATGGAAGTGTTGATATGAGAACTGTCAATGTTCTTTATTCGATGTCCGCCAGTTTTTAGGCGAACACCGAAGTGAATAGACGCATTGCTTGTATACGCACCAAACACCGTGTTGAAAATCGTGTGAAAAAAGGATTTGGAATATTTTTCATAGTGCCAATTTTTTGTGAAAATCAAGTTAAAAAGGTGAGTGTAATGCATTAAAATGTTGTATTTTGATTATATTTTGTGATTCTAGTTCGGATTGTTCGATTATGTGTTGTGGAAATTTTTTTGTG